CGTAGGAAGAGGAAATTATTGTACACATATACACATATGGCTTGTAATATTTCTGCTTCAATAATGAAAAGGAGAAAGATATAGCAATAAAACATTTTCTCAACATCTGTAACTGGGAGCTCCACTGTATTTCAGCAATATGGAGACATCCACAATACATTCTGAGTTCAGTATAGTTAATCTAAAGAATAAAATGATTTGCAATTACAAAAATAACAATTAAAAAATATATTTACTTACTGCAGCAGTCTCATGTATTCACACAGCTTTCAGTAATGCTTTTTAAATACCCTGTTAGTATAGTCGACAGCTATCATTCATAATTACTTGAAGTTACAGTGGTTCACAAGTTTGTCTCTGTCGTGGGGAAGCCAGTCAATCAGGGAGATGGCAGAAGCAGACAAGTGACAGACATCCCTGTGACAGATAAGTAGTACAATCTTTTAACCAAAGGACTAATCTTGTCAGTGGCCCCCTCAGAAACAACCCCTCTTGTAATGGAAAAGGGAAGAAGGTTGGGATTTACTCGGGTAAGCCATTCAGCAGACTTAACTTGCCATTTTAAAACCAAAGAGAGGAAAGACAAGGAAAGTCAGTAATATTCTTCCTCCTTCGGTTACTCATTTCACCGCTTAAAGCCTCCCAAACAAACTGTAGTGCTGCCCTGTTCAGGGAAAGACCAAGTATTACTGGACAGAGCAAAGCTAAATGCCTTTCACTGGAGCTGCCCTGAAGTTCAGCACCTGCAAAATACAGTCAAAAATAGGGGCCTTCCCTTGAGTTTTTCTACGGTTTGAGGACACACAGAAAAAGAGAAGAGGATCTACAGCATTTGTGCAGCTTCTATAGGTACACAGCACAACAAAAGCAAGGCAATTCTATTAAAAAAAAAAAAAAAAAAAAAAGCTGTTTAATCACCTCATTGTGGCAATATCCTCCAATGCCATTTCCTGCTCCTTTGGCAATTTCAACTTTCAAACCACCCTTAGCCTTAAGGTTCCTTCCACCCTACCACAGGGAGGACTCAAATAATTTCAGAGTACATAAACATTCTCTACTCCCTCCATACCACAATCTTTAACCTTAAGGATATATGACCTTCTTATCCTTATACCAGCTACTCTTTTCCACAGGGTTACTTACAACCCCACAATAGTGTCTCCATTTCCTCTGCAACTTTCTTTGTACCCATCACATCACTTTGGCTGTGGTTATGGGAAGGAACCCCACTCCCTTTTATTTCTCCAATCCTCAGCTGATGCCTCTGCTCAACAACCTTTCTCCCCTCATCACCTTTTTATGCACTTCAGACTATTCATATCTTCTTTTTCTCAGCTGGTTTAGGTTCTCTCCTTCCTGAACCCATTCCTCTCCAGTGCTGTACATTTACATTCCTGCCTTCCCCGATTGCACTGAGCTCCCTTTAGTCAGGCACAGGGGAGGGAAGAATAGCTCTCAGCAGCTCTCACCTTTAATCCACTTCTCTCCAGCACACCAGAAGCTCAGACATCTGAATATCACCTCTGCTAACCTCATCTCCCCTGCCCACATCAATGCTCCACTCACACTCTTGCCAAACTAATCCTCCCAAACCTTGAATCTCTCCTGTTTCTTTCCAGAAAGAAGGCTGATAATCATAAAGAGAACTCTAAAATGCTTTTCTGTCATCCAGTGACTCTCTTCCAATCAGCCACATCATTAATCCCAAGGCATTTGCTTTTCTTCCAAACAGCTAAAAGGTTCCTTTGAACCATACATTTTACTGTGACCTTTTGTTTCTTTTCCTCTCTCGAGACAGTAACACATCCCTTTACTTCACCAAGAAGATCACAAGTCGATCACCCAAGAACAAAATCCGAGGGATCTCTACAGCCACCCTCCCCCTCACCATGCCACATCCATCCCTGCTTCAAGCCGTGTAATTTTAGAGCACCATCTCCCTTTTGTCGTGCCAGCTTGGGTCTCAACAGGCTAGCTGTAACACAGGGCCACATTCATAGTCATACTCAAAGGACAGAAATCTCACCTGCTGAAGCTTAGAACTAAAACTGCTAGAAATCGCGTGAAAAAGGCATTCTTAACACCGACAGAAACACTCCTACAAAGGGAGCCTACATACAAATTTGTGACTTCACGCTAACGGAGCGTCTTATTTTTGCTGTAGTGTTGAGACCAGTATTTCATAGAGATGATCAAAAGCTGCATGCTAAAGGCGTATTTTTACCTATGCTTAGCAACGGTCACAGCACAGCTTTCACAGTGGACCTGAAAACGCTCAGCATAGCAAGCCATTTCCTTTATTCCACACCAGTTTTATATCTCAAGTGACCTCCATCTAAATATAGAGAAAAAAGTCAAAAACCTTCTCTGAAATTTTGATGAAGGAGAAAAATTAAGGTTCAAACAGCCTTCCTCCACCAATATACTTCAGAAAAATTGTTTGACTGACCAGTTGTCAGGGGTACATGCACAGGCTCTCAAGCTCCCACCAATTCAGTGAGACCTTGGCCAAGATATTGGGGCCCAGTCTCCCTCTAAACAGCTCTTCCATAGCTCATCATTTTCACGTGCAGTCCTCTGCAAGCCTTAACCAACTCCAAACTGTTCTTCCCAGAGGAGCAATTCCACTTTTCCCTCGAAGGAAGCTTTAACACACAAAATAAAATGTCTTCTCACCAACGAATTTACAGAGAAAAAAGAACAGAGAAGTTACCCTACTATAAAAACAAACCCTACCTTTCTGTTTTTCACTCTATGGAAAAGACAATGAAAGCCTGATATTTGGCATGGATAGAGTCCCAATTAAAATCAGTAACCTTTCTTAAAGTCAAGGGAAAACAGGGCTGTGACGGGGTTATTGTTTCCGAGCATGCTCGGCAGCTTTTAAGATTTCAGCATTGGGTAATGGAGCCCTGTTTCCTCTCTGACATCACTATACATTCTCCCTGCATGACCAGAGCAATGACACAGTAACAGGTTTTGCTGCTACAATTATTTTTTTTTGCAAAGGGGTTGCCCCACAAAGGGATAAGAACAAGGACACTGAGCAAAAAAAGCACATGTGCACAGGTTGTGCAATACACAACTACAGAGCTTACCCATTTCTTGGCCATATCCTCCAGCACCCCACTTGTTTTAGGTTCCCCATCTCTCCCAAAGCAAACTATTACGAGAAATGTATTTTCAAACCCAAGATTTGGCTTGCTCCACTTTCCGAAACAGGAACTTCAAAACCTAATCAGACCATTTCAATATTAATTACGACTCATTTCTTCATTTAAGGAAATTAATGATGCAAATCAGGTCCTGTGTTTAAGGCTGCATTAGGCAGCCATACCTACAGTCCACAGATAAGGTAATGCAAACGGTGCAGTCAACCACACTGATACATATTTTCTTGTGCATTTCTAACACAGTTTAGTAACCACCTATAAAGTGCTCATCCCCTAAAACATCCAGAAGCAACAACATAAATTACTTACTACTGGATGTTCTGACGCTTTTCAAGACTGCACCTTAATGCTACATAAAGTAGAATTACACAAGCTCCACAACTATATTAAAAACCTCCCAAGTCTTTAGATGAAAAGCATGAGTTTGCGTGAAAAGCACTATTGCAACTTCAGGCTCTTGAAACAAGGACGACACATAAAAGCTCATCAATAGCTCCTCTCGAGCTGCGTTTATTTTCACTCCTTTTGTTTTTCTTTCTAACCTCGAGACTCTCTCGGGCTAAAGTCAGAAAACAAAATGTCATTGTTTAAGCTTAACGAGTCAACGTTAATTTCACCATTATTAAACCCCCTTTAAAACAGCAACAGGGCCATTAATTACGTCGAAACACTAATGTTTTATTGAGGGGGAAGATACGAAAAGAAAGACGCGTTTACCGCCGAGGGGCTCGCTGGCACATGGGGGGCTGCCAGAGCCGGGGCTCGGCGGGGGCAGCCCCGACCGGGGAGCAGCGGCGGGGGGGCACGTGAGCCCGGCGGCGGGACCCGCATCCAGCCAGGCTGCTACTCCCGCCCAGCCCCCGGCCGAACAGACCATGAAAACGGCCGGAAGAAAAAAAAAAAAAACACTCACCCCCACGCTCCGGTGAGCGAGGGTTACCTCAGCGCGGGGGGGGGGGGCGAGAGGGGGGAGCCCCGCCGGCCCCCTCCTCTCACCCGCCGTCACGACAGCGCCGGCTGCTGCCCCCCTCCCGCGGGTCACCTTGACAGCCCGGCCCGGCCCCCCCCCCCCCCGCCGCGCTCGCGCCTTTGTGTCGTTACCCGCCGCCGCGGAGCGCCGGGCCCGCGCACAAAGCCCCGACGGGGCGGTGGGGGAGTAGCGTGGGGGGGGTGGGGGTCGCGCCCCGGCCTGAGCGAGCCGCAGCCGCCCGGGGCGGAGTGGAGGCCCGCCTCCGCGTCACGGCCGTTACCTGGAAGTCCCTGTCCTCGTTGAAGCGGGAGAACCTGTCCGCCATTTTGCGCCGCCGCCGCCGCCCGGCCCGGCCCGGCCCGGCCCGGCTCGGCCCCGCGCCTCCGGCCGCCTCCCCTCAGCGCCGCCCGCGCCGCGGCAGCGCCCGCCCCGCCCCCGCCGCGCCGGGGTGCGCTGCGCATGCGCGCCGGGGGCAGGTCACGTGCGCGGCCGGCGGCCCGCCCTCACGGCGGGACGGGACGGGACGGCGGGGCGGGGAGAGGAGGAGGTGGTGGTGGTGTGCTGCGCTGCGCCGCGCTGCGCTGCCCGGGGGCCGGGCCAGCGGTGCATGGGGCGGCCGGCACCACCAGCCGCACCGTGAAGCCTCCGCCGTGGCGGAGCGCCCGCACGCCGAGCGCCGCGGCGGTTTGGCACGGAGGGCTCAGCGCGCCTGCGCGCGCGCACGCGCCCTGGCACCGCAGGAAGAGGGGGAGCTGCTCGATGTGCCCCCCCCCCCCAACGCCGCGGCGTGCGCGGAGCTGCGCATGCGTAGAATCAGGCGGCGGCGGAGACTCGACCCAGGGGAGAGGGGAGGGAGCCAGCCCCGCTTCAGCCTTCCCGCCCTCCAGGCCCGAGCCAATGGAGCTGCCTCTGCCTCTCGAGTGATGGCAGTATTAGCCAATAGTAGCACGGGGTCGCCACCGCCTCCTGGCGGGCGTTGCAGGCCGCGCGGGCTGCTGAGGGGGCGCGTGCGCGGGCTGCCTTCGGAGGGGCCGCGGCGGGAGCGCGGAGGTGGGCGCTGGGGAGGGGCGTCAGGGCGGCCCGGCACCCGTCGGGCTGTGGCTAGCGTGCGGTCCGAGGCTAGCCCTGAGGCGGGTGAGGGGTCTGGGGCCAGCGCTCAGGTGGGTGGTGGTGCCCGGGGCCAGCTCTGAAGTAGGTCGTGATGCCCAGCGCAAAACCTGAGCCGCATTAGGGAGCTCACAGCCAACCCTGAAGTGAAGAACAGTGCTCAGGTCCAGGCAGACCCACGCCTGTAACCCTGCTCCCATCCCAGGCCTTCAGCCAGGCCACAGGGGCCTTTCATCACCCCTGAGCAGGGAGATGTGTGCCTGGCTTGCATAAGCGTAGACAGGTCCCCGTATGTGGTGGCAGAGGAGCAGTTCCCTGGGCCTTCACGCACCAGGCAATGCCTGGGGTCTCTGTCTCACGGCGGCCCACAGGCCTCTGAGCACAGGGGCCACAGCAGATGAGGCCCTGCTTTTCCATCCACCACCACAGCTGTTACCAGCTGTCTCTGAGCACGGCGGCGTGTGTCGCCGTCTCTCCACCACCCCTGACAGCAGGAAAACGGGATTCCATCTGTCTCTCCATTCATTCCTTTTCATTCTCTCACCAGAAGCCCCGCTGCCTGGATCCTGCCTGCGTGCTGCCCTCTGCCGCCTCGTTGAGGCAGGATGGGGAGAGAGAAGTTCGGAAACAGGCCTGTCTGAAGCATGTTTGCCAGACCATGCCTCTGTGTGCACCACCAAACCTGTGGATGAGGTGAATGCCTGTGACGGCGAGCCCTGCGCAGCGAGGCTGTGGGTCAGATGCAGGGGAGGCCAAAGTGGTGGTTGTGCTTTGTGCTACGTGACGTAGCTTGTAGCAGAGCTGACTTGATCTGTCACTGCAATGTGCCAGGCTGAGCTGCACTGACGGGACTCCAGCATGGAGCTTCCTCACGTATCTGCCTCTAACTTGCTGCTCTCGTCCTGCTGTACCACCTTGGCAGCCCTGCAGAAATCCCACTGGGAATGCCCCTAATCTTGGCTCTCTCTGGGGACCAGTCAGCCCTGTGTGTTAAGGAGGACCTTGCGATTGAGAGCTGGGATCTCTGCATCACAAGAAAGTCCTGTTGATGCTGTGCCTGTCTGTGCTTTACTCTGTTCCCCCCCGACACCTCAGTTCTGGGAGTCACCCGTCTCTTCCTGCATCAGGTCTGTGGTCCCACATTCCTGGGTTCAGAGTTGCCTTTGCTCCACGGGCTGTGGTCTCTCTCCCTGGGGACATGCCCATGGCTCCTTGTGCCCCAAGGACTGCCTTGCAGCTTAGCCCCGTGGAGGGTGGAGAAGCTGAGGCGCAGAGGGGAGCAGCCTTTCTCCTTCCAGGAATTAGTGCTGCATTTCCAGAGGGGACTGTCCGCCACCTTGTCCTCCCAAAGCACCCAGGCAGGCAGGGTGGGGCTGGGATCCCTGCCCTCCGAGCCCGGCCACGCTGCGTGGAGAACCCCCGTGGGTGGCTTGATCAAAGGGACTCACGTGTCCTGCAGCCACCCCATCTGTGGGTCCTGAGTGGGTGCTCTGGGCCCTGCTCAACACCGGGGCTGTGCCCACGAGAGGGAGCTCCTGCTCCACCCAGGAGGGCAGTGGGACCCCCCCACCCACACCGTAGGACCCCCACCCACCATGAGGTGGCTGAGCCAGATGTGTCCCTGCAGGGAGATGGAGCCGCTTCAAGCCAGGCAGGATGAGCCCTGGGGTAGGGAGTGTAGGTGCCCAGCACCCCCTGGGGAGGATGGCAGCTCACCCTGTGGGACCTGGGTGTCCCCTTGCCCCTCTTCTTGACACAGCACCCCCACCTCGCTGGGTGCACAAGCCGGTGCTCATCGTCACCGCTGGGTGGGGGGCACCTAGCCCTGACTGCTTGGGCTTTGGGATGAGGGGGACCTGGCACCCCGGGGGTGCTGAGGAGGAGTGGCCTCCAACCTGAGGCTGGGTGCCCGCCTCGATGCTGCCTGAGGCCCCTCACCCACTGCCTCAGTTTCCCTCGGTGCTCCAAGGTTGTGGCAGCAGGGAGCTGGGGCCAGGACTGAGCCCACTCTGGGGGAGCAGCCCTGAGAGGGCTCAGTTCTCTCTGCCCGAGGTGCTCAAGGAGAACAGTGTCCCGCGGCCAGGGGACCCCTGACCCCAAGTGTGTACGTGTGCAGCGTGCACCTACGGGTGTGAGCGTGAGTGCGTGTGCGAGCAGGGGGAGGCCGGGAACCGGGAGTGAAGGAGGCCCCTTTCTGCGGGCGGGAGGCGGAGGCCGGCACTGCGGCTGCCTGGGCCCCTCTTCTCATGTAAAGCAGCTTTGTGCGGGGGCTGCGGCCCCCCGGCCCCACCGCTTGTGGAGGAGGAGGAGGGAGCCAATGGGGGCCCAGAAGGAACGGCACCCCCTTGGCTTCTCCCCACACCAAAGGTGGCCCATGCCTGCTGGAGACGTGTGCCCAAGGGGGACCTGTGACTGTGGGGGGATGAACTTGCCCCAGTCTGCCAGCTGGGCGTGTGAACAGCTCCGTGTCCCCCTTGGGCAAAGCTCAGTGTCCCCCTCAGCCATGGGGACAGCTCAGTGTCCCCCATTGGCAAAGCTCAGTGTCCCCCTCAGGCATGGGGACAGCTCAGTGTCCCCCATTGGCAAAGCTCAGTGTCCCCCTCAGGCATGGGGACAGCTCAGTGTCCCCCATTGGCAAAGCTCAGTGTCCCCCTCAGGCATGGGGACAGCTCAGTGTCCCCCATTGGCAAAGCTCAGTGTCCCCTCAGGCATGGGGACAGCTCAGTGTCCCCCATTGGCAAAGCTCAGTGTCCCCCTCGGGCATGGGGACAGCTCCGTGTCCTTGTTGGACACAAATTCATACCACCGTCGGGCACAGGGACAGTTCAGTGCCACCTTTGGCCACAGGGATCAGTGTTGGACACGGGGACAGCTCAATGTCCCCGTTGGGCACACCTCTGTGCCCCCTTTGGACACAGGGGTGACTCAGTGTCCCACAGGGACGGCTCAGTGTCCCCAGCAGGCTGGGAACAGTTGGAGCGGCTGTGAGGCACTGTGGGGGCAGGAATGGGTTTCATGGCCCTGCTACAGCCCCCCCACCCTACAGGGGGGATTTAGGTGGTGCTGGGGGACAGGTGGGCACCCAGGGGACCCTGAGGGCCACCCTGGGCCTGTGGCATGGGATCGCCTGCGTCCCCACACCCAGCCCTGACAAGGGCTGGGTATAAATAGCAGCCAGTTCTGTCACCTCATGTCACATGCCCGGTGCTGGCAGGGTCCCCCTGCACAGCTGTTCCTGGGATGGGGGGGACAGCCACGAGGGCACCCTGTCCCCCCCGCCAGCCGTGCAGCGGGGCACCCCCACCACAGGGGCCACTGGGACCATCAACCCCCACCCCATACACCAGGGACAGACTTGGGGGGGAATACCCCGGGGTCTGGGCTGCCTGCACAGGCCATCACTGTCACTGCCTTGGGAACACAGACCCCGACCCAGCATGGGGCCCTGGGACAGAGCCAAGGTGGCTGGACCCCACCACACCCCATGGGGACCCATTGCCAGCACCAGGGCCTTTCCCTGGGGACAAATGGGACATTTCCAACCCCAAATCAGAGCAAAAAGGGAAACTCCCGGAGGCTGGCAGGGTCGCAAAGCCTCCTGCCACCCCCGCCTCACACCACCCACTTCCATGAGCAAAAACTGTCACCGCTTGACCTGCCGATCCCTGGGCGCCTCTAAAAATACCGTGTCCTCCTGACAGCGACAGCTGAGGGACCGGGCAGCGGATGCCTTGGGGACCCTCGGGGGGGGCCGGCAGGAACAGCGGGGCTGCCAGCCCTGGGTGCCCCAGCCCCTGCCCGCCTGTGCCCCTCTGCGCCGGGACGGTCCCTCTCGCTTCCCACGCTCCGTTTCAGGGACCCCCCAGCAGCCCACCAGGCCTGGCCCGCTGCCCCTTCTCCCACCGGGATGCAGCGAGACGGTAGCCGACGGCACCGTGCCTGGCCATGCCCGCTCTTGCCCAGCGGCCACCGGCACGGAGCCTGGCCCCGGCCCGCCGCGGCGGCTGTGCCTCTCGCTGTCCCCCCGGCCCTCCCCGAAGCCCCTAATCCATCTCTCGCAGCAGGAGATGCCTAAGCTGCCTTTTCATGCCGGCTCCAACGCGCGCGAGCTCGCTGCGCTTTCAATACCGGGCGCTGGCGGGAGATGTGTCGGACAAGCTGAAGGGATCCCTCCCCTGCCAGCAAGGTCAAGGTGTGCTTAAGCCAGCTTCCCCCCGCGCTGTCCCGGCCGCCGTCCTGCCAGCACGGCTCGGGGGGGGGAGTTTGTCCCCCCCACTGGCGGGTGGAGGTTGGGGACACACTGGGGCATCAGGGTTTCACCACCCTGGAGGAGTCCGGGCAGTCAGATGCACATGGTGGTGGGGGTTTGTTCCCCCCTGGCTCCTCACAGCCGCTTTGGGGTCACCCATCGGCCCCCCAGTCCCGTCCCCGGGACGCTCCAGGTGCTGGGGTTCGGCTAACGCGCTGTGCCCGGTGCCGGCTGGCGCCTCGTGGCCCCCACTGCAGCCACACCGGCAGCGAGGGCTCACCCTGGCGCTGGGCCACCCCACGGCTCACCCCACAGGCACCCCAGCGTTTAGCTCACCCCATGGATCACCCCACGGCTCACTCCACGTGAACCCCAGGGCTCGGCTCACCCCACGGGTACCCCAGGGCTCAACTCACCCCCACAGGTACCCCAAGGCTCAGCTTGCCCACCTGGCCAGTGCTTCTCACAGCCCCCCACCACCCTGTGGAGGCATCACAGGCCACTTGACCAGTTTAGACCAGTACAAACCAAGCCTGAGAACAGCAGGCGTTGGTTCCTGCGCTCCCTTACCCACAGGAGAGTGTTTGTGCAACAACTCTGGGCACAGGAGTGCAAACACACTCGCACACACAAACCTACCAGCAGACCTTTCACACAAGCACCCCCCAAAAACACCGTCACTCCCCCAACCCCCCACCTCCACTCCCACATCCCCATGCTCGCCCCTCCCACGAGTGCTGTGTGTACACGTGCACGCGTGTGTGTGTGCACACGTGTGCCCGCTCACGCGCGGGGGGTGCAGGGGGGGCCCAGCAGTGCCCATGCCGGGGGCCCCGCATCCCTCTCTGTTCCCTTGGTGACAGACCCCCGTCCTCCGCTGGCACCTTGAGCCTGCCGCCAGCCAGGGCTTTTGTGACTGGTTTTAATTAGAGACTCTTAAGTGTGAAACAAAGCCTAGGGCAGGGGCTGGGGGGGCCCTTCCTCTGAGCTCCTGGGGGACCCCCAGGGGTCCCCGTCCTGCCTGGCATCGCCTGGTACAGCTGCTCCATTCTCCCGATTTCTGCTTCGCCCACCTCCATGCCTGTCCCCAAGGGATGGGGTGGTAGGAGCTGGTGCTACCAGACCCCCACACACCCCAAAATATTGCCCTGCCCGGCACTGCTGGCCATGAGCCTGAGAGCGGGGTGGTGTGTGGGGCCGGTGCCGGCTGCCATGCCAGCACCAGTGTCACCCAGCGGTGTGCACTGGGGCTCCTGACCCCCGGGAGGAGGCTCGGAGAGGTGCCAGAGCTGCCCTGTGGCTGGGTTGGGGGTGCCAGACTCCGCTCGGGGTGCTGCCAGGGGTCCAAGGCCAAAACCTGGGGGGGTTTCCAGCTGCGTCCCCCATCTCTGTCCCTCCTGGATGCAGGGAGGACCCCACAAGCACCCTGGCACCTGTGGCACTGGAGGTGTCCCAGGGAGAGGGGCTGCACAGGGACCGTGCCTGGCTCCACCAGGGACACCGGAGCCACCAGCCCCCCCAGAGGTTGTGGCACCCAGAGCACCCTGGCAGGCGGCCATCTGGGGACCCCGGGGTACTGGGGGACTGGCAGCACTGGGTCCCCACCTGCATCGCCCAGTGCTGTACTGGGATGAAGTGAGAGTGGAGCAGTGGGGGGATTGGGACTCCTTGGTCCTTCCCTCACCCCACGCAGGTCCTGGGGGGCTGTGAGGGGGAGCCCTGGGGGGATCTGGGCTTGGCTCCATACTCCCAGTAATGCCCAGCCTGGCTGGCTGGCAGCACCCACCCTCTCCTGCTGGGTGCCA